ACTACCCTGAGGAACTCCTGCAGAGGGGTTCTAGAGCTGAGATGACTGACCTCCAACAATAACAACCATTTTCCTTTGTGGTAGATCTGACTCCAACCAGAGACTTCCCCAATTCCCATTGGTTAGTTTTGCAGGCTTCTCGATGTCTCATTCATTCAAGTACAGCCTTAACATCAAAGGGCTGTCACTCACCTCAGCTCTGAAATTTAGCCAATTTGCCGATTCATAGTCAGAGTCGCAGAGATGTACAGCACAGAAACAGACCCCCGAGTCCAACTCGTCCATGTCGACCAGCTATCCTAGATAAATCTGGTCCCATTTGCCAGCATTTGACCCATATCCCTCTAAATCCTTCCTATTCATATACCCATCCAGATTCCTTTTTAAATGCTGTAATTGTTCCAGCCTCCACCACTTCCTCTGACAGCTCATTCCACACACGCACCACCCTCTGCATCAAAATGTTGCCTCAAGTCCTTTTCATGTATTTCCACTCTCACCTTAAACCTACACCCTCTAGTTTTGGACTCCCCCACTCCAAACAAAAGACCTTAGCTATTCATCCTATCCACGTCCCTTATGATTTTATAAACCTCTATAAAAAAAAAGTCACCCTCAGCTTCAATGCTCCAGAGAAAACAGCTCCAGCCTATTCAGCCTCTCCCTATAGCTCAAACCCTCCAACCCTGGCAACATCCTTGTAAATCTTTTCTGAACCCTTCCAAATTTCACAACATCCTTTCTATAGCAGGGTGACCAGAAATGCACGCAGTATTCCAATAGTGGCTGAACCAATGTCCTGTACAGCTGCAACATGACCTCCCAACTCCTATAACTCAATGCACTGTCCAACAAAAGGCAGGCATACCAAACGCCTTCTTCACTATCCTATCTACCTGCGACTCCAATTTCAAGGAACTATAAACCTGCACTCCAAGGTCTCTTTGTTCAGCAACACTCCCTAGGACCTTAACATTAAGGTGTCGAAGTCCTGCCCTTTATGCCAGCTGTGTTCAGGCCCTCAATTTCCCTAATTTAAATTTACAAAAATAGTTTCAGACTTGCTTCTCTCTCCCTCAAAGTGGATGAAAAATTTATTCATACTAAATTTTACATAAGAACATTAATACCACCTCATTACAACAATATTAGATTACAGTCCAGTCTGTGGTGTACTGAGAAGTACTGTTCTGAGAAACTATCCCAAAAACACTCCAGGAACTCTTCAAAATAAAATTGAAGAACTGCAGATGCTGGAAATCAGAAGCAATATAAACAGAAATTGCTGGAAAACTCAGCAGGTCTAGCAGCATCGGTCGAGAGAAAGCAGAGTTAACATTCTTCAGAAGGGTTACTAGTCATTGGGCCTGAAACATTAACTCTGCGTTCTCTTCACAGATGCTGCTAGACCTGCTGAGTTTTTCCAACAATGTGTTTTGTTCTAGGACCTGTTCATCTAGGCAACCTTTGCCTATCTGACTTTTCCAGTTTATATGCAGATTAAGATTTCCTAGAATTGTCATCATGCCTTTCCGACAAGCTCTCATTATTTCTTCCTTAAACGTTTTATCCAACCACGTGGCTACTGTTAGGAACATGTATATCACTTCAATATGTAACAAAATAAAGAGTGCTGAAGAAACTCAGCAGGTCAAGCAGCATATGTAGAGAGAGAAAGAGAGTCAATGTTTCAAATCCCATGAGTCTTCTTCAGAACTGAAGAGTGCTGAAAATTGATGGTATTTGCGTGTTAACAGAGTGGGAAAAGGAACAACTGAAACAATGGCGACGATGTTAATAGCAAAAATCAAAGCCAATGCTAGTGTCAGTAAAAGAGTGATCTGGGCTCAAAACAAGTATCAATCATTGCTATTGAAGGTTGAAAATCAGGGAGAGGGATAATCAAAATGGAAGACAATGTTCATGTCCTAAAGTTCTTACACTCAATATTGAGCCCTGAAGGCTGTGAAACAGATTAAGTGTGGTGTTGTTCTTTCAGCTTGCTTTAAGCTTTACTGAAACCAGCAGGCCTAGAACAGAAATGTCAGAAACATGAATACAGGAACACGAGTAGGCCTTTTGAGCCTGTTCCAGCATTCAATATCACAGCTGATAATCCAACTCATACTCTTTCCCAATTTCTCTCCATATCTTTTGATACCTTCAATCCTAAGAACTATATCTACATCCTTCTTGAAAGCCAATGTTCTAGCCACAACAGTTCGCAGTGGCAGAGAATTTCTCATGGTCACTACTCTCTAAGTCGAGAATTCCCTCGTTTGTTCTAAAAGGCCTAGTCTTAAACTGTGACCCCTGGTTATCAAAAACATCCTTCCTACAGCCACCCTGTCGGACTTTTATAGGTTTATATGAGGTTCTCCCATTCTCATTCTTCTCAACTGTAGTGAATATAGTCCAAACTGATCAATCCCAGCCCACACATCAGTCACACCATCCCAGGAGTCAGTTTGCTAAACCCTCCTTGTACTCCCTCTATAGCAAGAACTTATTTCCTCAGATAAGGACACCAAAACTGCACACGTTAGTAAGATGACACCAAGAGTACAATCCTGTACAATTGCAGCAAAATATCCCTGCACCTGTACCTGTACTCGAATCCTCTCACTATAAAGGCCAAAATACCATTTGCCTTCTTCACTGTCTGCTGCACCTGCACGCTTACCTTCAGCAGCTGATGTACAATGACACCTATGTCTCATTGCACCTCCATCTTTCCCAATCTATCGCCATATTACATTGCTTGCTTGTTTTTGATTCTGAAATGGATATCTTCACATTTATTCATCAGCATTTGCTATGTATCTGCCCATGAGCAATGAGAACAAAAGGAGCAAGTGAATACTTGTCTTTATTATTTCTAACCAAACAACTTGATTTCCTAAAACTTACATCATCCCTTTTTGTGCTAATATCAAAATTAGTAAACAGATCCAGGCCTTTATATTTGCATAGCTTCCTCTTATTGCTAAATACCTTAAACCCTTCAAGGTTCAGGCACCATCCATACAATCCTGTTGCTATAGAGATAGTAGGAAGTGCAGATGCTGGAGAATCTGAGATAACAAGGTGTAGAGCTGAATGAACACAGCAGGCCAAGCAGCACCAGAGGAGCAGGAAGGCTGGCGTTTCGGGCCTAGACCCTTCTTCAGAAAACCAATAGCAATCCTGTTGCTATGTCTGTTATGGCCACCAGATCATACTTATTCATTTCTACTTACACTGTCAGTTGATATGGTTTGTTTTGAATGCTACATGCTGTCAGGTCCAGTGCTTTTAATTTTACTCTTTGTAAATTCTAGTCTTCTCCGTTGGTTGACTCAGATTCATGCCTACTATCTGTCCATGGTCTGTTTAACATTTCCCATATTAATACCATTCTCTTTGGTCTTAACTCTACTGATTTACCACCCTTTCCAAGTTTGATTTCTCACCCTTACTAATTAATTTAAAATTCTCTGTACTTCCCTACTCATGCAGTCAACAAAGAATGGCCCCAGCACATTCAGGTTGAGAACACCCTCTCAGCACAGTTCCCACTTTTCTCAGTACTGGCGTCAGCGTCACACAGACCAAAATCCACATATCCCACACCAGTTTTTGAGCCACACATTCGTCCGTCCAACCTGATTTGCCCTAAGCCAAATTGCATATGTCTCGGGTAAAAATCCTGAGGTTACCACCTTTGAGGTTCTGGTTGTTTATTTGGCACCTAGCTCCTCATCCCAACTACGTAGAACCTCCTTTGTGTTGCCTACATAGTTAGTACCAACATGGACCATAAAGGCTGGATCCATCCCCTCACACTGCAAATTTTCTCCAATCCTGAAAATGCACTGAAGCTTGACACTGGCCAGGCAACATATCCATCTGGACGCTCAGTCTTTGTCAATTACCACACATTACTTCTTAGTTGCCCTTCCTGAACAGCTTCCTGTACACAGTGCCACAGTCAATTAGCTCATCCATAAACTCAATCTTAGAGTTCTTTCCCCCTTATAATTTCAAATACCTCTTGTTTATCTTATGGTCTGGATGTGGAATTTTAAGCATTCACATTTCAAAGGCCTCTATTATCTTCCACAGCTTGTTGCATTACAGACCAGGTTTCTGAGCCATACAGGAATGTGGGTAGAATTAGAATCCAGCAGCCCACAATTTCATCCAGACAAGATGAAAACACCTCAAAACTGTTGGACAACTGCAAAGGAAAGACACCTGCCTTCTGGGTTCCTTTACCTCCCACACTCACAATTACACTCTCCCGTCCCTGAACATTGACCAAATCAGATGTCACCCCCTTCAGAGGCATGACTGCCTCCAGATACAAAGAACCCAAGTAATTAACACCCTCCCTGATGGGTTGCAGCGTCTGTTGTTCAGCCTCCAGCTCAGACTCTGAGCTGAAATTGTTGCAACTTTGAACATTTGCTGCAGACATTACATACAGATCCAACTGGGTACGACCTTCTTCCCTGAAATGAATTAGTATAGCAGTTGGCTTTTACAACAGATCAGTTACACCTGCACAAGGAAAAACATTTATCATGTCCATTATTGATCTTCTAAAACATGGGCAATAAATAAATCCTCTCAACTGTTAGGTTAGTACCGATTTATTTTTAGAAAGGGTATAAGCTGAATAATGAGGGGCGCAAGGTTATTTTGTTCCTTGAAGGACATGCCTGCCCACCACTGCTCTCCTTCTAGCCCACCAAAAGATACTTCCTGCAGCTGAAAAGAAAGAACAGAAACACATTACTTCTGGATAACAGCCTGTCATCTTTCGATACAGCTACCTAACTGAGTGAAAACACAAAATTTTCCCAATACTTATGGAGGCAACTAACTTCACTTAGCAACACCACACCACACCACACAGCTTCAAATACCACATTAAACCTCTGTGCTGTTGATCCCTAGCGCATGAGAGATCATGATATTAAGATAGAGGGAATAGGAACATGCACGTCTTCACTTACTGTGCCAGATTCATCCAGGGCAAGTATGCAAACTTTTTCACCTCCTCCTTCGTTAAGTACCTGAGGATCAACTTTATGATCCAGGTGTCCACCAGTAACGAGAATTTTCTTCAGGTTTAACTGCCTGCACACCCAAGAAAATAATTAAATTCAGCATCTCCTGGAAAGATAAATTGTCATACATAACAAAATAATTAGCAATAAAAGAACATCCAAGATATGACAAAGAACATTAGAAGGCATCAGTTTCCATAACTCTACCAGGCTTGCAACTGGATGTATTCTAAATAGTGTTGGAGTTGTACCTGCACTCCTGAATGAGCAAGAAATGTCTGGAATAACCTGTTGTGTAGAAATTTTAACGTCAGGATTTCAATTTCCTTCTCAGTAACTTGTTTTTAACTACTTCTAGGCTGGCTGATTGGAGTCATATTTTGGATTTATTTTCCAACCCACTTGAGATTTTGCACACCTAAGGGGCACTCATTATTTTCTCTTCAAATAAAATAAACTAAAATTATTAAAAATTTTCTCATGAGTCATAACAATAATAATAAACATAATTAGATGCAGAAGAATCTGGGTGTCCCCAGATTCTTGTAAAGGTTAGCATGCAAATAGAACATACAATTAGGAAGTTAATAAAATATTATTTATTGCAAGGGGAATTGTGTACAAAAGTAAGGAGATTACAATTCAATTATACATAGGGCATTATTGAGACCACGTCTAGAGTACTGCACTCCAGTACAATAATATTGGAGTACAACTAGTTGCCTTACCCTCTACAGGAAGGATGTAATAGCACTAGAGGGGGTACAGAGGAGGTTCACCACAACGTTGCACAGTAATAAGAAACTGAACTATAAAAGGTGAGACTAGATAGGCTTGGATTGTTTTCTTCAGAGCAGAGAAGGATCGGGGCGGGGGGAAAGCATGAAATGAGGTGTATAAGCTTGAAGGGTATGGACAGGGTGAATAGAGAGCAGCTGTTCCCCTTGGTTGAGGGGTCAATCAAGGGAGAGCATAGTTTTAGGGTAAGGGGCAGAAGATTCAGAGGGGATTTGGGAAAAAAACTTCTTCACTCAGTGGGTGGAGGAGTCTGGAGCGCACTGTCTGGGAAAGTAGTGGAGGCTAGAAACCTTACAATCTTTAACAATATTTGGAGGAGCACTTCAAACTGTATAAGGATATGGGACAAGTGCAGGACATTGGCATAGTGCACGTTTAGTGGTGATTATGTCAGTGCAGACTCGATGGGCTGACGTGTCTTTTCTGCATTGTATGAATCTATGTACCTATGTATGTATTCAATAAAGGATGCCAAATGCACTGGAAAGAGTTCAGAGAAGGTTTACTGGACTAATACCTAGAATGGGCAATTTGTCTTAGGAGGAAAGATCAAACAAGCTACGCTTATATCCACTGGATTTGAGAAGTGTTAGCGGTGTCTTGATTATAAGATGTCAAGAACGCTCAGGATCTGACAGGATGCATGTGGTAAGATTGCCTCTTCTGATAAGAGAATGTTGAAGTAGGGGTCACTGTTTAAAAAATAGGGTTAGTCATTTAAGTCCGAGATAAGAAGATTTCTTTTCTCAGAAGGTTTGTCTCTCTTTGGAACTCTTCTTCAAAAATTGGTGGAGGTAGAGTCCTTGAATATTTTAAGGCAGAAAAAGCTACATTCTTGATTACCTTCTCAATATCAACCTTGTCAAGCCATCATTGAATCCTCCATGTTTCAGTAAGATTTGCTTTTACTCTTTTAGGCCTGACCTACTCAATTGATCCTCTTAAGACAACTCCTCATCCAGAAATCAACAAGATTAAAGTACCCATTCATAAAATGCAAGCCCTAAACAACAAATGTGGGTAGCTCTGAATAATATATTGTAAACTCAGAATATCAACAGGTACCACCAAGAACTGAAAATAGTAAAAATTCAGATTGATTTTTCTCATTCTGTGCACAAGCAACTGAGATTCCATCAGAAACACGGGCTTATAAATTCAGGTCCACAGACATTCAATTGCAACTCTTGGAAACATCTCTACAGTACAACAGCTTTAAAAAAATATATGAAGGAAAACAAATACCTGGAAGCAATTTTCTTGCATTGATAGCCTGTCAACAGATAAACATCTCCTCTTTCCGTAACACACACTGTGGCCCCATCACTTGCTGCTGCAAGAGAGATCACTATGTCCTTATGATGCAAAGCGGATACTTGACGAGGTGCAAGCACACATCGTTCCCCATTAGGATCCATTAAGTAACCTTTATAAATAATTCAGAAAAAATGGGAAATATTGGCAAGCTGGGGCACTGAAGTAAATCACATTGTTTCAGAATTAATTATCAGCATAACAATAAAATATTGGCAAAGAAAAATGTGGAAGACAAGACCAACAGCCATGCATTGTAAGCAGCTACAAATATCAAATTTAAACTGATAGATTACAAATATAGATCACTTTAAAATACTTCTTAGCACAGCACAAGTTACCATAGTATGCTAAAAACAATGTTATCACCAAAATGTCTCTAGAGAATTATACTCCCTTAATTTGGAACAATAACGATATGATAAAGATGCCACAGATTAGGAACATAAAAGATGGTAGTGTAGCACAGTGTCTTTTCACTTATCTGACAAAGGTCAAAATCCTACTCAGAATAACAGAACAACAATCACCTTCCTCCAACAACTGCAAGAGTCTCAAGCTCATTTAACCATACATTAAACAATCAAGGTATCATATAGATGCAAAGATCAACAGTATTCAAAACTACAATGTCACAATTTTCAATTCGAAATGTCAGTGTTCACTTCTAAAACTGACCCAAATATAATGGGTTTATGCTGTATTTAACTTGGAGTTATAAAAGAAGCTGGCAGTACTTGACATTAAAGAAAGTGAATTAAAATTCCAAGTGAAAAGAAAAGAACTTTTTGTTAAATACAGTAATCAGTGTATAATGTCACAGCTTTATGCAGATTTTTTAGTCACATGCAATGGTGAATTAGCCAAGCTAGCTCTGCAAGCATTATGTAAACAGCTTCTACATCTTACCAAGCTGGCCACCATTCAGACCCATGGTATACACCGCTTCCCTTGTCCATAGAACAGTGTGAAACCTCCCCACAGCAACTCCAATCACAGTTCTTCCTTTAAGGGTTTTGGACTGTACCTTCGCAAATGTTTGAGAGATGTATAGATTCACAAATATTAAGCAATTACAAGCACAAAACGTTCCCTTTTGTATTTATTTCAAACCAGTAGTTTCCATATAGTTTTATAAAAATCCTTTATGTCATCGCACATCGTACCCTTATTCAAACACCACAGTGGTACAATGTTGCCAAAAGCATATGCAATTGAGCTGAATATAAATTCAAGACTGCAGTTTCTATGGCTTTAAGCCCTCCACAAGGCACACTCTCAAAATTTTGCACTATGTATAAAAGTTTTGAAAAAGTTACAAATTTCACAAAACATCAGGTTGAGATCAGATTTGAAAACACACATTATTGAAGAATAGCTTTCAAAAGCAACATTTTAAATAAAAATATTTAATCCTGCAAAAAAAAGTTTAATTAATAACTTCTTTGGATATACTAATTAGGAATGCAAATTAAGATTATTTGATTTTACAATTAAAATATGACAACTAAGTGGAGCGCAGTAAAACACTAGGTATTTCCAGAGGAACCTTCACATTTAATGAAGTGACAGAAAATTGTTCAACTTCAACAGCTACAAAATGTCACACATTTCCTTGTTGACTCCTCCCTGAATCATAAAATACAATCATAGAACCTTGCAGTACAGAAAAAATACATTCCGTGCCGATTCCATTCATGTAGAGACTTGGAGAGATTTTCTTTATCTGCATTAATTTGCTTTTTAATCATAAAAAAAGCTATCCAATTAGTCCTACTTGCCTGCTTTTCCTCATAGACCTTTCAGTAAGTTTGCTACCCCTTATGGGAGAGTCTAGACCAGACAGCATAATCCCAGAATAATTTATTCTCTCAAAGGGTAGTGAAAAAAAAGGGGCTATTTAGGGTGGGTTGCTAAGTACATTCAAGGCTGAGATAGTCAGATTTTTAATCAGTAAAGAAATCTAGGGTAGAGAAAAAGGCAGGAAAGTGGAGTTGAGGATTATCAGATCAGCCACAATCTTATTGAATGGCAGAACAGACTCGATGGGTTGAATGGCATACTTCTGCTCCTGTGTCTCTCTCTTTTAAAGTACGGACCCAAAAGTATTTTGAAAGTTGTAAAAATATAAAAATTACAAAATTCAAGACCCACCCCATGAAATACGGTTGAACCTAAACAGTTGGAAGTTCTTATTCTATAAGAATTTGAAATTTTCCTATAATTTTGTTTAGCCTCTCTCTAATAAACAGACTAGCACTGAAAATTCTGTTATTTCACATTAACTTTCTTTTGAAAATGTTGCTGATAATGACCCTAAAAAGTTCAAGTTTAAATAATTTGTCCCTTTTTAAGAACATCAATGGCCCATTGATATGCATCCCTAAAAGAATCTCCCATAGGTACCTGTCTTGGTATGCTACTGTTGACTGGTGGAGGCACAATGCCCAGCTGACAATAAGTATTCAGTCCAAAAGCATAAACAGATCCATCTTCTGTTAAAACAATTGTATGGTCCTTTGCAGCTGCCACCTGAGAACAACGATGGCTTGCTAAATTTTCCACCAGTCGAGGAACCTTAGAAAACAGTAAAGTTATGCAGCAAATGCACAGTACAATTAAAAAGTCTCATTAGAAATGTTTACACAACTTGCCTAGCAATGTCCTGCTAAGCAGCTGAATAAAATGGACCAGAAATATTCAATGACAGCTTTGTTTATACAGAGCTCTAAATGTACAAATCTATCATTATGTGCTTCACTGAGAATCAGGTAAGAACAAAACTACAAAACAAAGATGACAATATTAGACGGTGATCAAAAGAAGGGTTTTAAAAGAGGTTCTAAAATAGGACAGGGAAATGCAGAGGCAAGAGAAGGTTTTGGGAAAATTATTGCAGGGCACAAAGCAACCAATGGTGAAACAATGAGATAACAAGATGTAGGGCTGGATGAACACAGCAGGCCAGG